ATAAAGGGGATGATTATCCTAATCCTATAATGATTAGGATAACTACAACATATGGATAAATACAAGGGAGGATAATGACAAGTCTTGGCCGCCTGGTATGGATAAGGATAAGGTGCTTGTCGCCTGGTCTTGGACTGAAGTGAGACTGATGTGGTCTGGTCCATTTCCGGATATGTCCCAACCATCATTTCTCAACATACAATATATATTATGTCGACCGAAAAATATATTATTGTCATATGCAAAAGCGTACAATAATTCTATGTAACAAAGTTTACAATAAATCTCGATTATACAATTCCGGTTCAAGGGCTCTGTTCCGAAACTGGCTTTTAATATGTGGATCGCAAATGCGGACAGGCTACCTACAAGGGCTAGGTTGGCTTCATGGGGACTCCAAATATCTACAGCATGCTGTCTATGCTCTCTTGACGTCGAAACAAGGGACCACTTGCTCCTGTCTTGTTCCTATAGCTGGGAGGTCTGGAACCTCGTTCTTACTCGGCTGTGTCCACCATCGCATCCTTTCCGAGACTGGAATGAGCTACTTTCCTGGATCAGATCACCAACGACGCAAAGCCCTATCATCCTAAGGAAGTTAGCAGTCCAGTCCACAATTTACCATCTTTGGAAACAAAGAAACAATGTATATCACAACAACTGCCATATTGCTCCGATGATGATTGCACGAAGGATATACAGAGATGTGAAGATCACAATCATGGCAAGGAGGGATAGGAAGAAATTTCATTCCCTGTTGTCAAGTTGGATTATCTAATTTATTAGGTTCATAACATTGCTCTACTCTTGTTTTTTCTTCTTTTTGCCAAGGTAGAGTAGCTCTTAGATTAACTTTTTGTAAATCTGAACCATCATTAATATGATATTAGCATTCTTAGCAAAAAAAAGCTTAATTTTTGCGTCGAATCGTGTACAAGGTAGCAAGATAGCTTCGACATTTCCTGAACATTTAATGCAGCTACTGAAATAGGGGAAACAAATTAGAGCTCATCTATGTTTACCAAAAAAAAAGAATTAGAGCTCCTCCATATATTATGTAAACCATGCAGAAATTGGCTTTTACCGTCAAGATTTTTATTTTGTACTTTCATTTTAATCAGAACAAGGCAGAGCCATAGACAAAAAAAAAATCTCTCAAAATAACTTTATAAAAGCCCTAAACTTAAAATTCAAAACGTAGTTAATAAATAGGATAAGTATTACTTTTTTTATCATCTTAATCATAACTATACCTCAGAGAAGCCGACCAAAGGTCTGTAACTTTGTATCCATACTAATTAATTAACAAATTCTCAAAACCTTTTCACGAACGTTCAGTTTAGTATATGCCCAAAAAGGCTATTTAGTTCTCCCGACATTCATCTCAGAATATTTCATAAAAACACCAAAGCGCTAGTATATGAATTAGGGACAAAACAAACAATGATAAAAATGTAAAAGTCTGAAAACTACAGTCCGCTTATATATCTACAACCAATATAAAAAAATATATAAGAAGAATTATACATCCCAAAAAAATTATAAAGTTTCGTATAATAATATTCTTAGAAAAGTAATTAATACGCATGATATATATCTTTACAAAGTAACCCTATATCTCCCAAACCGCACAAACAAAACTTTTAGCTTCTCCACATCCACCAAAGAAAGATCAAGAACCAAGAAAACTTCGTGCAAGAACCCATACAACATCGATTGATCTGTTCAGAAATGGATATGATTCCTCAACTGATGGAAGGCTCTTCGGATTACGCAGGTTCTTCAAACCTAACCGCAAACTTCTCCTCTGGAGCCACCGTAACACAACCACCGTCCTCCTCCCCTCCATCGGCTAACTCAAGCCGTTACGAGAACCAGAAGAGAAGAGACTGGAACACGTTCGGACAGTACTTAAGGAACCACCGCCCACCGCTTTCGCTTTCCCGATGCAGCGGAGCTCACGTGCTCGAGTTTCTCCGTTACTTGGACCAGTTCGGTAAGACAAAAGTCCACACGACCGTTTGTCACTTCTACGGCCATCCTAATCCTCCGGCACCGTGTCCTTGTCCTCTCCGACAAGCTTGGGGGAGTCTGGACGCTCTCATCGGTCGTCTTCGAGCTGCTTTTGAAGAGAACGGAGGCCAGCCTGAGACTAATCCATTTGGAGCACGTGCCGTTAGGCTTTATCTAAGGGAAGTTAGAGATATGCAGAGCAAAGCTAGAGGTGTTAGCTACGAGAAGAAGAAGCGAAAGCGTCCTCTTCCTCCTTTGTTGGCCTCTTCTTCCTCGGCTGTAGCTAGCCACCAGCAATTTCAAACGTTGCCTGGTACTAGTTCTACTACTCATATATCAAAGATTGAGAAGTGACTACATATAGTTATAAAACGAGTATTTATGTAAAATGAAGTGTGAATTGGTATCTTTCTTATATATATGTTAGTTTTAATTTAGGTTCGTGTGTTTAGTTTTAGCATCTGGTCGAAGAAGAACTAAGTTTTTTTTTTGTTATTAGTGTATGTTTCGGGTTAAGGAAGGTAGGGTTTCAGTTTTTTTTTTAATTTAATAAATGAAAAATTTACTAATATATATTGTCATGTAAATGTGTCTGAGCATCTCTTTATCTTCGTTTGAATTGGTATTATTCTTCACCATCTTTCGGTTTGATCTGATGCTAAAACAGAGAGGTCTTAGGTTTTTGTTTAGATCAATTTGTGGAGCATGATATGATACTAGAATTGTTTTATTGGTTTTTCTTCTTTTGATGCAAAACAGTAGTCGTTTTCTAAAAGTGACAGTGAACTACAAGTGGTCTTTATTGACTTACAGTGGTTGAGAGTGACTGCACTATCTATTTTAAATTCATGGATTTCCTCATTAGTTTAGCTCTACACCCAAATCTCACCATAGATTTACTGAGTTGGTACCCAGTCACAAACATCACATGCATACGTGGCATTCTTGAGTAAATATGTTGTCTTGTTTTTGTTTCATCTCCGAGCTCAATTAATATTATTTTTTATCTTTTTTTGAGAAAGGGCTATCTCCGAACTCGATTTTGATGTTCATGTTTAATCAACCATAGGTTTACTTGTGAATGATACGTTTTCTTACTCAAGCTTTCACTGTTTTCATAGCAAACATTTAAATATAGCAGAAAGAAAAATAAATCAAAAAATTCTTACACTCTCCACCTTTATTGTTCTAGTATATATATACTTATCTACTTTTTTACTCATGAACATTGTGCATGTCTAGGTTTTTGCATAAACTCTAGAATTTGGAGATATGGTAATAATTCTCAAGATTCTAAGTAACATATAATATGACCATACCACATATATTAGAAGTTTACTTTAACATGTGTTGTTTTGTGGAATTGCCCTTGGAACACCAATGTATCACATTAAGATTATGTATGGTCTTTACTCACACCGCATATATTAGAAGTTTACTTTCTTTCTCAATGACCTGATTGTATTGTTGCATGCAATACTATATTACATATATAATCTGATATTGTATGCGGTGTTATGTATAGTCTTTACTCATACCGTATATATTAGATGTGTAATTTCTTTTTGAGTTATCTTATTGTATTGTTGCATGAATACGATATTAAATAATAAATACTATATATTCTATTCAAAGTTGATAATTCATGACCATTGAGTTGTTTCCCTGATACAGAAAGACTCTCAATTTTTATTGCACGCTGAAATATGGAGTCACTATAACTGAGGAATGAATATCATTCATTTTGTTTAATAACTATGTAGTCTAATTGCGGATTGAGGATCAAATTGCTGAATAGCTATGTAGCATGATTTTGCTTACTAATGTAGGACAAAAAAAAAATTATAAGATAATTCTGAATAATGCAACTCTAAGAAACTGTTGTTTATATACACTACTCTAATGACAATACGAACTCTATTAAATGATACATATTTTCCTTTGATTAGTGATTTGTTAAATCTGTCATCGGCATGTTGCACCTTATAAGTTATCTGTGTGTTTCAGTCAAAACCTACATAGATCATAAATCCCAAAACTCATATATAGAGATTTGTGAACCATTTAGGTTTAGTTGTTAATTTGTTATAGTGAAATGGTTTCTTGCATATATTTATAAAATATAACTATTTATAGTAAATAAGATTTTTATTACAGTAAAGGTTTTTTTTTATTTTAAAAATGTTTTTTTTTGTAATAGGTTTCTGATTTTTGTTGTAAAATCTTTGTAACTAGTTTAATATTTAAATAATTAAGTTAAATTACAGTTTGTAATAGGGTTCCGATTTTTGTCATAAAATAAATGAACTTGTTTAATAATATGAAATTAAAAAAAAAAGAAGAAGAAGAATAAAGCCAAATGGAAAAGGTATTGACTGGACATAATTTTATTTTTAATCTCACTTGTCACCTGATGTAATCAATATTATAGTTTAGATAACGTCACAACAATAGGGCCAGAAGATGAAACAATCATTTTTTGACAAATTTGAAAATCAAAACAACATATGTTACAGCATTCTTATAGTACCTAAGTGCAATTCCCATACACCAAATTTTGGTGTTTTAGTGTTGAATATTTATTTTAATCTTTAACCATATATAACACCAAATTTTGGTGTTTTTGTGTTGAATATTAATTTTAATCTCTAACCATATATAACACCAAATTTGATGCTTTGGTTAAAGAAGAAAAGTAAATTTCAACAGTAAGTATCAAATTTGATTTGAATTTTTCCTAACATCCTCAATTTTTGTTTATAAATGAAATACAAAAGTAAAATAAAAAAATCGAAACAAATAATATAATATAGAAATTGTTTTGGCACATTGTTTAGTGTTGCATCATTCATAAAAAGAGGTAGCGTCAAAGTTCTGCCTCACTTGTCTTGTCTCTGTAAGTTGTTCCTCGCAAAGCACTTGAAGACCCCATGCCTTCAACTTTTATTGATTCTTGTCCATTTCAAATGAGAGAAAACAATTCTGTAATTCTACATTTCAGTTTGCCCGAAGTCTTTAAATCCATAGTAGGATTCATAAATCATGAACTGAAAGTGTCATCACTGATTTATTATGTCTTGTTTATCTTTCAGTTATATTTTTCTATAGGAAAAAAATCAATATAACTGTTACAAAAATGTCTATGCGAGGTTTAATTTAGTTAGTCTCACATCAACAATATTAACACGCTATGAAATGGTCAGCATATATACTCTCAACGGTTTTCGAAAATGTTCAATAATTACCGTACCAAATAAAGTTTCATCCTTTTCTTTTCATATTTAAAACTTTTCAGACATTCTGCCCACTTTTTGTATTGAGTTAAAACCAACGCTCAATAATACAGACAAAATTACACCAAATTGAATAGTTTCTTTTAAAATATTTATGCGATATATGGATATCCTACTTTCCAACGGTTGAAAACTAATCCTAATGGTTTTTGTTATTTTTCAAAAAACACAATTATATTGGAGTCAGTATTCCCTTTAGACGCGAGTCACTCGACCGACAATAATATTATCAAAAATTTGACAACCTATACAAGATTTCTACTTCGTGAGTTCGTGCTATAACAATGTTATTACACATAAATATCATATTTTAAATGAGATCTCTACTTTAAATATTTAAAAACAAAGTCACATTTGTTATAATTTTTTTTTTTGATCTAAATAAATTAACATTCATTTTAAAATAATAATAACTAGAAGGCATTAAAGCTACATGAGGACGTTGCATACTGCTTGCATTTTAGTTCATTTGGCCAACTAAAAAAAAAAATTTGTTCCAGTTACATAGCGCACTTTAGGGGTGGGACGGATCGGATATCCGAGGTATTTTGGGATATCCGGATCCGGATCCGGATTCGGCGGATCCGTAAAATTGATATCCGGATCCGGATTCGGGCCTTCCGGATATCCGGATCCGGATTCGGGCCTTCCGGATATCCGGGATTCGGATATCCAAACTAAAACTCGAATACCCGCGGATATCCGGATCCGTTTTAAAAAAAAAAAAAAATTTAAAAAAATCAAAATTAAATTTAAAATTTTAAAATTAAACATATATTTATTCAATTAAAAATTTATTTTTTGCAAAAAAGTTTAAAAAACTAATAAAAATTTAATAAAACTAAGTTTTAGTTATTTTATAAAAATTATATATAATATATCTATATAAATTTAATTATATTTTAAATATTTTAAAAATATTTAGTGGGCCCGGATCCGGATCCGGATATCTGGACTAAAATTTTCACTATCCGGATCCGGATTCGCCGGATCCGCAAAATCACTATCCGGATCCGGACCCCTCGGATATCCGTTTTTTCGGAGCGGATCGGGACGGATCCCGGATCGGATAGCGGATAGCGGATATTAAGTCCCAGCCCTAGCGCACTTAATGACTCTAGTGTGATCAACATGAAATCCATAAATAAAAACATGAAAACCATCACATATAACAAATACTTTTTTTTCACATATAACAGATAGATAAACTTCATTTCATTTAATCAGCAGTAACACTCAACTATGAGAACACATTTTATAGATTTTATGTGGATTGGGAGTGAACACTACTATGACATGGCCTTTAGACTTTGAATTTGCATTCAAAACCTTTCCATATATGGTGAGAAAATTATAATTATCCCCATTACAGAAGTTCCGTCATAATTAGTAACATTTTTCGACTGATACGAATATTTCATTTTTAAATATATATTGAGGAGACAATCGACATTGAAATGAGGGACCCCGAGTTTCCACATGATTCTCCTGTTTCATCATTACACACCCCAAACCTAAATTAAAGTGAAACCCTTGTGAAGCTCCACCACATTTATACTCCGAAGTTAACATCTCTTGCTGAAGTCAAAGACAAGATTTAGAACCAAAAAATTATGCGATATATAACCACAAAATTCTTGTGTTCAAAAAAAAAAAAAAAAAAAAAATATAACCACAAAATTTAAGTGCAAGTGTAAAACCAATCAAATATATAATAACAAATCGTTTGTTTTGTTCTCCGCCGATGTCAACGTTTTTTATAAGAAAAAAAAAAACTAATCTAACAGTCAAAAATTGTTTCTTTATACAATCTAATGATCAAATTTTAGTTTTATTTAAATGTAAATTATCTCTAATTGCTAATTTAAAAGGTGTGTTTAATATTTTCAAACATCAAAAGACACAATTCTGAAAAAAACAACAAAAAACATAACTTTTTCTTTTCTGAAACAATTCTGAAAAAAACAACAAAAGACATAACTGTTTCTAAAGACACGATCCTTTCAAAAAACTTAATTTGTTTTTGAACCCATTACCATACTTTTTTAAGAAAAATATCTAAAATTTTTAATTATAAACTTACTTATGAATAGATATCATTTTTCAATAGGTGAAAAAATGATAATAACCGGCTAACTATTCTCTTATTAACTCCAATTGAATAATCTCCTTTTAGTCATATAGTATTAAAAATATATATAAAAACTTGAGTCAATTAGCTCAATATACCTAAAAGTGTAGAAAATAAAGAAATTACCCCACGCGCTCAAAAATTCTCTTATCCTATACACTTTTCCATCTCATATGACAGTTTTGCCCCTACCCAAACATTTTACATCTTTCTCTCTCTTTCCCAATTTTCCTCTCGTAAATCAAATTTTTTTAATCTTCTCTCTCAAAAAACATACAAATGTTTCTTCTCAGATCCATAATCAATTTTCTTTTTGAATTGATAATTTGGAGAGAGAAAAACACACCATACAAAACTTGTATACTAGTTTATGTTAACAAGGAATATTTAAGTTTAAGTTTTAAGGTAAAATAATTTAAATTTTGTTAGTGGATAACTTGTTTGTTAGAAACATATACTGGGTGCAAAAAGAATTTATAAAGCGATAACATATTTTATAACAGCTAACCAAATGTATATCAGCTAACCAAACGTATATCATTTAACACAATATATATCAGGTAACAATAAGTATTTATAACATCTTAACAACTAATTAAAAAGCGATAACATGTTTTATAGCAGCTAACCAAATATATATCGGTTGATGAAAACATATTATATGACTTGTTATATATAAATGTAACTGCTAAGGTTTAACGTACAATATTATATGACTTGTTAGAACGGTAACAAACTTTGTACCGTTTAACAAACTATGTATAAGCAAATGTCAGCTATTTATTAACATCTTATAAACCATTTACAAATCTTTAACGTATTTTGTAACAGCTAAGCAAAGCTTTACCTGCACATAACACTCGACTTGCACATGAATTGAATCAACCAAGCGAGTAACAAAGAGCCACAAACTGCATTGGGAAGATCTTAATCACTTGTTCATTGCTTTTTCCCTGCCTTAGTCATGTTTACCTTCCGAGTTCAACGTTGCATGGTGGTTGTGGATCTGACTTTCTTGTCACCGGATCTATGGTGTGACTGTTGGATCTCTCAGCGTAATTCGGATCCTGAGCCGTACCAACAAACTCTCTAACTTTTGAATCAGACGGAAGACTGGAAATTGAGAGTATATTTTTTATTGCCGGAGATGGTCGGAGTCATCTAATCACTGCCGTGGGAATAGCCCCGAGAGACATCACTTATGTTCACATGATCTAAAGGATTAAGTACAAAATTAGCAAAACGCCAAAATTAGGAAAACGTAAAATTTTAATTTTGAATAAAAAGAGAGATTTGGAATGGAAGAACAACAAGAGAAATAAAAAAAAAATGTTTGTGCAGAAAAATTGTGGAGACACGAGAGATTGAGAGAGAGAAAAGGATGGAATAGATTGAGCAAAAAGTCGGCCATGCAGATTGGGCAAAGGGTCGGGCATGGGTCTTCTTGTATTAAAAAACGTCTAACAGTGTAAAGGGTATACACTTAATTTTGTCTATTTTCGTGTATATGCCACCTAATTACTCTAAAAACTTTGTCTTTTATTTCATATCTATAAAAAGACAGATATTGTCTCGTAAACACATCATATTTTTCTCAGATAAATAGAATTATTGTTATCTCTCAAACTAGAGTAAAATTTCTTTTTAGTCATAATCATAAGGATTGTTACAAATTTGTTTTACTCTAGTAATTCTTTCTTGAATAATCTCCTTTTCAAACAACACATCCCCTTTTAAAATAAGAAACATACATTTTCACAATCATTTATTCTTTATTAAATTAAAAAATGGAGGGTGTGATTTTTCAATTTATGATCTAAAAAATATTACATTTATTTTTAAAATTTCCTTGAAATACATACCTTTCAGAATAGTAAAGACCATACATTTTTAAAAACTTATAATTTGTACCTTTTTAAAACATAACTTATACCTTTTCAAAATCTTATATATAGACGTTCGTAAAACATAAAACTATAACAAATTGGTTTTTGATTTCCTCCTTTGCTGTTTCACATTTATATGTTTTTACCATTTTACTTTTTTAATTTCGCTTCGTTATCTTAAAATCATCAAGGTATTTTTCTCTTATATCTTCTTTAAATTCTAATGTATATAGTACTGATAGTTTTTTTCAAAGTACCGTATTTTAATGTATATTGTAGGACTTGTAACAAGAAGTAAATTTAACTTTTAAAAATAAGTTTAAAAAGAAGAAGTAAATATGATTTTTTGTGTGAAGATCATACATTTAATGAAATGAAAGGTACATCGTACATGAAGCCAACAACAAGGAAAATACGTTTGGTTTGATCGGCGAAAAATATTCTGCATTTTAAATTGTGTTTGCATAAATAAATAGGACAATTTTAATAATTAGCATGCGATAATTGATTTTATGTGTTGCTGACAAATTTTAACAATGTGAAAAGTCAAGATCAAATGTTATAAGTAGCAAAAGTCACCATGATCTTTTTTTGTTCATATAGATTTATGACACAAATATCTATAAATTTTAACTTTTTAAGTGCAATGATCAATAATATCTTAGAGCATCCATAATGGTGAATTCCATTGTGGAATCCTTAAAAACTATTTTAATATTTTTTTTTATTTTTTTTATGGAATAGTTAATGACTATTAGCAAAATAAGCAGTCTAATAGTGGATTCTTTATAGGAGTCCTTAGAAAAAAGAAGTTTGTTTTTATTAAACATATGAAATTTACAATTTTATTAATTGCATGACTAAACATAAAGATACACTAATTACATTGGCTTACTTTACCCATCTAACCAATGCATTGCAGAAAAATGTTATTCATCAGCAGAAAATAACACAAAAAGTTTGAAAAATTGCACTATGACAAACTAATATAGGTTCATTTCATCTTCACTGCAACATCTATAACATACGGCTATGATCAAAATGTGAGGAAGAAACATGTTAAAAATATGGCTTACTATTTGGCTTACCAAGTGGAATTCTAAGACCATTGGCAAGAGTATCCTTAACAGGTTCATGAAGCTGCTACAAAAGTATCCTAAACCCTCAACCTAAGTCCTTCCAGATTCAAACCACGAAGTTCAGCTCTTTCTCCAGTCACCATCATGTACTTTGGAACATCTTGTGAAACCTATATCCAATCTCACCAGTGAGTATCCACTGGAAATAATTCGAGGAACTGAGACTATAAGATTAAGATATACTACAGAACCACCACCAATGAAAGCAAAAGAACCAATATGACAGAACTGGTGGACCACCGTGGCTCCTGCTGTGTGTGTATAGTCCTGCACCAAGAACATGAATCCACGCTGCTAAATTCAGATTTGAAGTATAGATAGACACAAGGAAATATCTTACTTCTACAATCACATGGCCTGCAAGAAGTGTATTGTTGGCAAATATGTTTCGGTCACCAATCTTGCAATCATGGGCGATATGACAAGAGCCCATAATTAGATTGTTGTCACCAATCACCTGTCCAAACCAATGAGGAACATAGCTTACAACACAGAAAAACATCCCAAAACCTTTAATCATATTGGACAATTGCCAGTTTGCATTACCGTTTTATCACTAGCCTTTGATGACATGTGAATCGAACAGAACTCCCTAATTTCATTATCGTTACCGATGCAAAGAAAGCATTCATCCCCATCCTAAAACAAAAAAAAATAGACCACATGACTAAATTAGAACTAGAACAATCTAACGAGGTAATGAGCACACCCACACCCACACCCACACACACCTTGTACTTCAAGTCTTGACATTTAACACCAACCACAGCGTGACCTATTACGTTATTACCTCCTATGACTGTACAACCAGGAAGCTCATTCCCAAAAAAAGCACCACTAGCTGACAAAAAATATCAACACAGACACAACAAAAGATCAATCCAGAAGTAACACATTATAGTACGGAATGTAATCTTAAGAGATCAAAAGGGATTTACGTCATTAGGACACAAGATTCCCCCAACTCTGTGTTTCCAAAGATGTGACTAGAAGGATAGAGTTGCAGCCATTTCCTAGCTTCACTGAAGAGGCAACTGTACAGTATGGACCAACTGAAACTCTCTGTTAGAAGAAAGAGGAAACAACATTTGTCGGATTATAAACTAATCTCTCAAACAAAAGCAACACACTTTGGCCATGTTCCAACTAAACCCATCTTATTTTATGAGTGATTAGCTATTCCTTCCATATTGCAAGATGATCAAGAAGTTTTGGATAAAAATCAAACCTTTCCGATGACAACACTTGGGTGGACGACATCATTTGGATGTATGAATACCTCAGAACCTCTCGCTTCTTCATAAGAATCTGTTCCAAACCACACAATGTTTACAGCTTAGATTAGAGATACTAACTACGCTAATCACAAAAAGCACCAGCGGGAAGAGATAGATAGAGAGAGAAAGAGAGGTTTACACGAGAGGTTAGAGGAGAGACAACGGCATATAGAGGAAGTGAAAAGAGGAGATATAAGCCTCTCGCGAGCTTTAGGAAGAGAAATCACGGCGGCGGGCTAAGTAGAGCAAAGACAAAACCACTTCGATTTCATACATGTGTTGTTTGTGTTCGACGAAATGCCTCAAAGAATTGACTAAACAACGTAATCTCTCCCAGCGATAAGGGCAGAGTTGCAAGCAGGGATCGAAGCTCTCCCAGCCATATTGATTCAACGTAACGCTTTCTCTTCTCTTCTCTTCTCTTCGATCGAGACGACGCCACGTCGATACTGATCGAGTCCGTAAAATCCTTATTGAAGGATTGCTCCTTACCATTCCTTCTTTTTTTTAATATTTTCCCACACGTGTGGTCATATGTTAATGAGCTAAGGATTCCACATGAACTCCCGTTGCTTGTGCTCTTAGCGTATTAAACCTTCCCGCACGGTTGGAAAGATAATCTACTTTCATTAAATGATTTATTAGATAACCGAAAGCAGAGGATATTAAAATACTATTCGAAATTCACATCAAAATCATGAATGTTTGGAATCCATATTATGCACGGAGACATTGCTTGAGTTATTTGGGCCCTGGCGGATTAACATGGCAAACTGCTAATTTTCGGATACGAGATATCCATCCTAGTCACTATGGGCTGCCCCATTGACACGTATGAAGGAATCAATGCTGGACTTATTATTGGATCTTTATCAAGGGGTGGCACTGTACCTGTGCTTTTCAGTTGAATACATATTAAGAATTTAAATCATGCTTGGTACAAGTTTTTAATGAGATTTTGAATATTACGGGTTTTATTGGATATTTATTTAATTTTGGATTCGGTTCGAATGATAACCATAATCTAAAATACCATAAAACAAGATTCATCAATCTCTATGTCGGGTTTAGATCGGTTTTAATTCATTTTTATCAGATTGGATTCAGTTCGGATTCAGTTTATTTGCTCAACTCTAAGATATTTTTAAACTTAAACCGGGTTATTTATCAGGTCTGAGGTCGGACCATGAATCGGATCGGGCCGTAAAACATTGCAAATTTCCTAAACGCTTTGGAGGAAAATATCAAGCCACCAATTGATATATTTAGTGGGCCAACTAATATACAATTGGACTTATGGACCTCGTACTGATTATTATGGGCCACAAATACAACGTTGCCGTTTTAGCATTTTACATAAACGCCTGAAGACTCTCCAGTCTCTCTCTTACAAGTCACAGAAGCATTCGTCTCTTTTGCTCTCAGAGTCTGTACGGAAACCCTATTCTCCTTGCTGAAATTCTCGCCTTTCGCAGGTTTTTCCGCACAATCTTAACTCTTCTTCTCTGTCTCTTCCTTCTCATTTACTATCTCCTTCCTTTGGTTTCTTTATGCTTGTTGAAATTTGAGTGTAGTGGTCCGAAACTCGTCCTGCGTACATGTCGAGTGATATATTTGACCATTACTTTGATAAAAAAATTTAAACTTTGTTAAAAAATTGAAACTTGATAAAAAAATTTGAAACTTTGTTAAAAATTGAAACTTTGTTTAAAAATTGAAACTTTGTTAAAAAAATTGAAACTTTGATAAAACATTGAAACTTGTTAAAAAATTGAAACTTTGTTAAAAATTGAAACTTTGTAAAAAAATTAAAACTTTGATAGAAAAATTTTAAATTTTGAGAGTTACTGTTGAGTGATGGTCCCTCCGTAGTTAAATTTTTAATTTTTTTGGAAGGTTTAGTGTTGAAACTTGCGTGATAAACGGTCTTGCGTACATCTCTCTGTGTGGGTTCTGAGTGATATAACTTTGATAAAGTTTGAAACTTTTCTAAATATATTACACATTACTTCTGTCTGAACTTGGAATCAGCTTCTCAGCGATTTACTTACTCGTATTTAAGGCTAACAAAGCTTCTTATTTCCCTTTTCTCTTTACGTCAGATTCACTCAACGATGTCTCCTCTGATTCCGTCCCTTCCAGACGATGTCACCCTTGACATCGTAGCACGTGTCCCAAGAAGCCATTACCCAACACTCTCCCTCGTCTCCAAGAACTTCAGGAAACTCATTGCCTCTCCTAAGCTTTACAAGAGGCGCTCTCAGCTTGGAATCACCCAACACCGTGTCTACGCTCTCCTCCGCAACCGTGACACGGGCCACTGCCGTTTCTACGTCCTCCACCGCCGTGGACTCAGTAACCGCTTGGTCATGGTCTCTTCACTTCCTCCCGTGTCTTACCGTGGAAGCTTTGTCTCCGTGGGTTCCAAGACATATGTGTTCAACGATGCTGATGCCCTCAGCGTTGACTGTGCCTCCCACACGGTGGAGCCCCTCCCTGACATGCCTCAGCGCATGGCGAAGTATCCTATGCCTAGTAAAGTGTCTAATGTCATCGACGGGAAGGTTTACCTGATAGGAGATTCCTTTTGTCATATTGAGTATGAAGATGGTGGGTCGATGAATGGGTGGAGGAAGACAGTGATGGTGCTTGATACGGAAAGCCAGAAGTGGGAGGAGCCGGTGATGATAAAACATGACTTGAGGGTTGGTGCCACTTGGTCTGATTCCGTGGTGATGGATGGGAAGGTTTACATGAAAGGTTACAGCAACCGGAACTCTGTTGTTTATGAACCAGAGGCGAGGAAGTGGGAAGCGATGGACGAGGTGCTGAACTCTAAGAACTGGGAGGGTGCGTGTGTGGTTGATGATGTCCTTTACTATCTTGACTGCTCAGAGAAGGCGTTGAGGGCTTATGATCCAAAGCAGAGTTCCTGGAGTGTTGTCAAGGGTTTGGATGAGTTTTTGGCGTCTGAGTGTGCTCAGTCTAAGTGGCCTAATGCGGTGAAGTGCGGTGCGGAGAAGTTGGCTCTCTTCTTTCCGAAAACACATGAAGGGAAGGAGGTCATTTGCTGTGCGGAGATTGCTCTGGAAAGACGCCAAGGTGGTGGAGAGATTTGGGGTAAGTTGGAGTGTTGTGATGTTGTGATTGAGGATGGGCTGTTTGACATGGTGGAATGTGTGTCTGTCACGGTTTGATGCAGCTCTGTTTAGATCCTTTCGTATTTTAATTATCCTAAATGCCACCACCTCGTGTGGTTGGACGTGTCCTAAATGCTATCTCGTGTGTGTAGTCGTTTAAAACTTGTGGTGTGTTTGTTTATTAGATCACTTCCTTGAGACTTGAAGTTTGCTATGTTTTTTAATCGTTTCCTTTAGACTTATTTTGAGGTTTGTTTCCTCACTGCCTCATCTGTTAGTTTAATGTTTTAGATATAGACAATGAACTTTTAATGATTACTGAGCATAACCATGGCTAAATTCATATAAAAAAAATGAATAGTAAAACAAGAATCCAATGTTACTCTTTAGACTCTAGTCGAAATCAACAAAAATGATACAAAAATACATAGAACCCACTAAAACCAAAAGAACAGAGAATATAAAATATAGTTTTAAAATCTCAAGTCGTAGTTGCAGGTTTGAAGGGCAAGAGGAATGGCTGGTCTCCAAGTTGTTCCCTCAGGACTATCCATCAAAGCAATCCCAACATTTGCCAACTCTTTCCTAATTGCATCAGATCTTTCGTATTCTTTATTCTTCCTCGCCTCTGTCCTTTCCTTCACTCTCTGCAACACATCTTCCTCATTCAGTCTAGCGCGCTTTAGTGCCTTCTCTTTTAGCTGCTCAAGAACCTGACAACAGGAAAACATAACATTTCAATACAAAAACATGAAAGGAAGGAGCAAAATGGAAACTTGTTACCTCTGAGTAACTTGTGGGCATAAGTCCTAATATAGTAAGAACTTCTCTGACTGTTGTCTCTAGAGCCTTAAGTGACTCTTCTCTTCTTGCTTGCTTTTTCCCCTGAAAAATCAAACTCGTCACTGCTTTATAGCTATACCACTAATTGGTTTTGAAAACATGAAGAGGTTTATGATTCGTAAAAGCAGACTCTTGCAGTAAGTTATGTTTTACCTTTCGGGTGTGAATGAGATCGTTGATGGTTTTCAGTGGTTCTGACATTGCAGCCAGAGTAACAGGTGTAAGAAGATCATCAGACATCGAGGTAACAAATTCACTACGGAAAGTGTTGATGCTTGTCAAAGTGTCTGAAGGAACTGAACCATTGTCAAACGTTGAATCTTTCTCGCCTAAAACGCTTTTACAGTCGTGTAATGTCTGTCAATAAACAAAATAAGCATCTTCAAAGGATTGTACTGAAGAAAAACATATCATCATAACTTTTTAAAATAGCCACATTAAGCATCCTGGACTTAAGAAGCATGTAACCTTAGCCAGGGATTACCTGATAAATATAAAAAACACGTTCAGAAGCACTCTCGAGGAGGAAATCAGAGTAATTGATTGGAGACCGGTAATGCGTTCCCATTAGAAACAGTCTCAAAGCTAAAGGATGATAAAGATCTATAACCTGCAATATCAAAGCTTTAGTCATTAGTGTTGGACTTGAAGAGAGAAAAGGTCAAAAACTTTTATATGTCTTTTACCTGTCTGATTGTGAAGAAATTCCCCAAAGATTTAGACATCTTCTCAGAGTCAACAGTAACAAAACCATTATGAATCCAATAGCTAATATCACTACTATCACAAGCAGCACAGCTCTGAGCAATTTCATTTTCATGGTGAGGGAACACAAGATCCATCCCTCCACCATGTATGTCAAAACTATAACCTAGATAAGCCGCACTCATTGCACTGCACTCTATGTGCCAACCAGGCCTTCCTCTCCCCCAAGGGCTCTCCCAAAAGACTTCCCCTTCTTTTGCAGTCTACCAAAAACACTCAAAAATCATTCCAAAACTACAAAACAAGAAAGTCACTACTCTAAAACGCTTACTTTCCACAGAGCAAAATCTGCAGGGTGTCTCTTCCTTGTGTCAACAGCCACTCTCTCGCCAGCACGGTTATCTTCTAACTTTCTCCCAGACAATTTTCCGTACGTTGGAAACTTATCCACTGAGAAGTAAACATCTCCATCAACTTCATACGCATAGCCATTATCAATAATCTGATTAGAAGAATCATCACCACATAAGAATATATAAGCAAAAAATGACCAACGAGATAAGAAGCTAAGAGGAAGTAAACAAAAAAAAAAAAAACCTGCTTGATCAGGTCAATAATCTGAGGTATATGATCAGAGACACGTGGCTCAACAGAAGGATCTAAACACTGAAGCTGTTCCATATCTCTATTAAACTCCTCACAGAACCGTCTGCTTAAACTGATTGGATCTTCCCCTAACTCATTGGCTCTAGCAATTATCTACAAAAAAATTCGAACTTTCATGTGTTATTGGAACTAAATAGTAACATAAAAACTCAAGCTTTAAGAGATTATCTCACCTTATCATCAACATCAGTGAAGTTTCGGACATAAGAGACTTCATAACCTAGATGCTTAAGGTACCTGCCTAATTCCCAAAATCAAAAAAGATCAAAACTTTACAGAAACCCAATAAAAAAGATTGAAGCTTTTTAAAGTCAATACCTCAAGAGAACATCGAAAGTGACGTAGACGCGAGCGTGACCAATGTGGCTGAGGTCATAAGCAGTGACGCCGCAAACGTACATTCCAACTTGGCCTTTGACTTTGGGTTTGAACAGCTCTTTCTTACGACTCATTGTGTTGTGCAACCAAAGCTGGTCCTTTAGGGTGGGAGTGGGATCTACAGACTCTGTTATTGGGTTTGTTGATGATGAGAGAGGAGTGAAAGAGCGACGGGGTTGAGTTAGCTTTCCGGGTCTGAGAGGGAGACGGGAAGTGAAGTGAGAGGTGGGGAAGGAAGGAGAAAAGGGTCTACATGATTTGAAGAGATTGAGAAGAGAAGCCATTGGTGGAGCTTATCGTCTCCAAGAAGAAGTAATCGGATTAGCAAAAGCGGCTAGAGAGAGAGAGAGAGAGAGAGAGAACTTCTGAAACAAAATAACGGTTTGTGTAAACCGGTTTTTATTCCGGTTCGGTTTTAAGCAAGAGTTGGAGAGGTTTTGTCAAAAAATTGGGAGGGTTTCTGATAAATCTGAGTCGATCGGAAACTTCGAGTTGTGTGTTCAGAAAACCCTAAAGACGATTGCTTTCTATCAACCAACCATCAGTTTCTCTGTTGTGATCAATCAAGTCGTGTGTGTGTGTGTGTTGTGAACTCAATTCATCTTGAGGGGTAGAGATGGTGTTTGGACAAATAGTGATAGGTCCTCCTGGATCAGGCAAGACTACTTACTGCAATGGCATGTCTCAGTTCCTCTCTCTTATCGGCAGGTAACTTATTTCTTTACTCGGTTTTGGACCAAAGAAAGAAGCTTGCTCTATTTGTAGCTGTTTGTTCTGTTTATGTTGGTTGTTTCTCTGTCCCTAGCTTTGTAGACTTCCCAAAGTTACGAATTTTTTAGTTTATGGGAGTGTTAGTTAGGAGAAATTGGTTGTTTCTCTGTCTCTCTAGCTTAGAAAGAGTTCACAAAGGTTTAAACTTTAGTTCATGGGGGTGTCAAAAGTACGAGAAAGTGGTCGTTTCTTTCTGTCTCTAGATTTGTAGAGCTCACAAAGTTTCAAACTTTAGCTCAGGCGAGTATTAAAATACGAGAAATTTGAGCTTTAGAGCTGATAGTCATATGTGCAGTTTCATTGTCTTGTCTTTGTTTTGCAAAGAGCTTCGTGAGGACTTCGCTAAAACTATTCTCTCGTTTTGTTTTGCAGGAAGGTTGCTGTTGTTAATCTGGATCCTGCAAACGATGCATTACCGTATCCTTTTCTTTATGCCACAACTTGGTTAAAATGGTATAGAAATGAGTGAATAGCACCCATGGTGTGAGTGTTGTTTCTTGACATTGATGTTTAGGTATGAGTGTGCTGTAAACGTAGAAGAATTGATTAAGTTAGAAGATGTTATGGCGGAATTTTCACTTGGTCCTAATGGAGGTAAATGTTACTTGGCATCTTTTATTTCTCCTCTTCTTCTTGATAAATGTTCTCAAATCAACGAAAATTTGATCTGTTGAAATAGGTCTGTTACATTGTATGGAGTACTTGGAGAAGAACATTGACTGGCTTGAAGCTAAATTAAAGCCTCTTTCCAAGGGTTAGCCACACTAAACTCAAATATCTCTTGCTTCGGTAATATCTACTAAAAAGAGTTCTCCAAAACGTTTTTTGCAGACCATTACTTTCTCTTTGATTTTCCTGGCCAAGTGGAACTCTTCTTCAACCATGACAGTACCAAGAAGGTTCTCACAAAGCTGACTAAATCGTTGAACCTTAGAGTATGTGCTTTTTTCAGTTTATTGTTGTTACCAAATTTGCTCTAAGAGTCTACACATGTGACTAACTCTTTTTCTTTTCTTTCTTGTTTTGTTTTGCAGTTAACTGCTGTGCAACTAATTGATTCCATTCTATGTACCGACCCTGGGAACTACGTAAGCGCTTTGCTTCTCTCTTTATCCACTATGCTGCATATGGAACTCCCACATGTCAATGTCTTATCTAAGATCGATTTGATTGGAAACTACGGGAAGCTAGGTATTAAAATGGTTTAAACATCTACCCTTTCGCTCATTACATCTATTTCAAAGTTATAAACTCAGTAACTACCTTCTTTGTGTGTCGTGTAGATTTCGGTTTAGATTTCTATACCGATGTTCAAGACTTGTCATACTTACAGCATCATCTCAATCGAGATCCTCGCTCCGTGAAGTACAGGTTAGTATAGAGAGACTGCCTGAAGAATAGTCAAATATGTACTATCAGTATCTTCTTATGAGTTTGATGTTCTTGTTGCAGGAAACTAACGAGTGAGCTGTGTAGCGTCGTTGAAGATTACGGTCTTGTCACTTTTACAACGTTGGATATTCAGGTCAGCTCTCTCTTCCCTCACTCTTCAAGCATCTTTTCTTGATGTTGAGAGTGTTTTGGTTTTTCAGGATAAAGAAAGTGTTGGTGATCTGGTGAAGCTGATTGATAAGAGCAATGGTTACATATTTGCAGGCATTGATGCAAGTGTGGTTGAGTACAGCAAGATTTCAGTTCGTCAAACTGATTGGGAATATAACAGATATCCTTTTTTATTATTAATTACTAGCTTTAAATATTCTAACCATTTGTTTTGTTTCTATCAAGTGCTCTGAGTTTAGTTTTGATGTTTTACAACAAAGAGAGTTGTTTTCTTTAACGATAGTCTTCTTCACAGTTGCCGCCGTGCAAGAGAAGTACATGAAAGACGAGGAGACAAAAGAGTGAGGGACAGAGATAAACATTGAAACTTGCTAAGAAAAAGAGGAAACATTTGATGATCTATGAACCAGGCTATATATGTAAACGGTTTGTATGAACCGGTTTTTTTGTTGGGGTTCCGTTCAAGTCCAAACAACATTTAGTGAGATAACTTACTGGTTTGGTTGACGACAATTTAAATCTTTCACAAATTAACGTGAACTAGTAGCCAGCCACTAACATGAATAATTTGAACAAGAACGAATGTATTTAGTGATGATTAATGCATCCACTAATGGGCCTGAATAGATTAGGCCCAAACTTTGATAAAAAAACGCGGCGACTAGTAACGGGTCAAAGAAGACGACCTTTGTGTCTCGGAATCCATCCAAAAAGATGAAATGAAATGGGGTCAAGTAATCGCGTTGCTCTAACGCCACCGCCCACTTCCTTTTTTTTTTTTTCTTACTAGTAAACAAAAGTGTCCACCAAGCGTGAGCAAAGCGACGCATCCGAATCCGCATCTCCCCTTTTTATATAAAAATCACCCTTTTAATTATAATTTCCTTGTCATACTTCTCTTCTTCTTCTCTCCAAACCCAAGTTCTTGTCTGAAAAAAGCAGTTTCAATCCATGTCTTTCAGATTCAGAGGAGTTACCAAGGTAAAACAATAACAAAAAAATCATCCCTTTTCGCATGCACTCTTTAGATCTCCAGTTTCATTTCTATCAAAAAGATTTGATTTTTGATTTAAAAAACCGTAAACCCATCTCTATGTTGTTAGATCATAATCATCACACTTGATTTCAAGTATCCATCTTTATATAATTAAAAATCGAATCTTTTTTTTTAATTGTATTTATTTATCTTTATAAATCGACAGCCAAATGCAACATCTGGAATGGGTGTTGCGGATCAGAGCAAAACAACATACCACGAGCTCCAGAGGAAGAAGACTCATCGCTACGTCGTCTTCAAGATCGACGAACTCAAAAACCAAGTGGTGGTTGAGAAGACAGGAAACCCAGCAGAGAGCTACGACGACTTCTTAGCTTCTCTCCCCGACAATGATTGCAGATACGCTGTTTACGACTTTGATTTCGTCACTTCCGAGAATTGCCAGAAGAGCAAAATCTTCTTCGTCGCTTGGTTAGTTATTATAACTTTTAATGTGAATCTTGAGGTTTTTGAAAATAATAATAATAACGGGAGTTTTGTTTAGGTCTCCGGAGACATCTAGGATCAGGGCGAAGATGCTTTACGCGACATCGAAAGAGAGGTTTAGGAGGGAGCTTGACGGGATTCACTATGAGATTCAAGCTACTGATCCTACTGAGGTTGATCTTGATGTGATACGTGAACGAGCAAACTGAGGAATGAATTATTTTGTTCGATGTTAAGACGATGCTTATGGACTTATGGTAATGTAATGAAAATAATTATTTGGATTTTCTCTCGTATTTCTCTGTGTAACCACAGTTTCATGTTCTCTATGAACAATTGTATTCAAACTCAGTTGATGTTTCAAATTGCTTATCTATAAAACCCTCTTTGTAACTTAGTTTTGTTATGACCTGACCCGTGGTTGGCTAGGGTCGAATTGTGGACGAGTTGTTGAGTTGTTAGACTCTGTAAAGCCCTCAGAAAAAAAATATGAATCTTGCAAAATTTTATCAAACGTAGTAACAAGCACAATTGATATTTTCATATGTTTTTGTCATCTTACAATGCAGCAGCCTGTAAGCTTTCGTTCTTAGATCTAATACCTTTAAGTCATGGTCCAATCGATCAACACACTGTTATTTTGTGTATTTTAGAGGATATATCTCCAAAGTGGGTAAGCGAACCTCCAGAGAAATAAGAACAGTCAACGAGGTCTAACCAGTCAAACTATGGACTGTGACCTAAGTGCGTCAGAAGTGGTTAAAGTTGATTGAGGCTAGAAAAAGATAGGTCGGACTAGGATCTAGGAGAAGGCATTCGCTTACTTCAAACACACATGCATTGTACAGTCTACGAACTTCGTCTTAAGCACATTCGATCGAAAGATCATTCTTGTAACATTTCATTTCATTATTTTTCGGTCTAGTATAAACACATTCGATCAAGAGAACACTGTTTGTATTTTCTAAAAAAAATGCCTACAATCAGTTACAGAAAATCTTTAGCGTGGGTTTGAACTCCCACACAACCGGTTAAAGTTGAATTGCAATCCAATATTGTATCCGGTTAGGCGATATTGTAAACGACCCTATCACACCTAACGTTACCAAATTGATTGAAGAGATATTGAGAGATTTTGTGGAATTATGGAAAAACGTAGCTACCCTTGACAGTCTGAAACTAAAATGTAAGAGAAAAAAAGAGAGATTCCGAGTGGGGCCCACTGCCGTTGTGTCCGAAAAAGCGAGATTGCATGATCCAACTGATCTCTCACTAAATAATAATACTATTAACTATTTATCTGTTTATTGCATTTTTATCATATTCACAACAGCAAATGTTATTTATTTTTAAAATGTATAATTACCAACTTTTAATCACAGTCCATTATTTGTTTGACATTTTGAGGAACATTAATAGCAATTTTTTTTAAAAAAAATCATCTTACCTATTTAGTCTCCATATCAATTTTTTTTTTTTTTTAAACTTACATATTAAAAAGTATATACTTGAACTTGTATACTCATTATTCTTAACGTTTTAGTGTTTTACCAATCTTTACCATGTTTTTGGTTATCTTAACTTCTGTTAGTAATAAAAAGGTTGGAGAATTATTTGTGAGAGAAAATAAAGGTTGGAACTTTAGTTTGTTGCTCAATTTACAAAATTTCATTAGTATTAAAGGAAAACCCCAAAAAAAAAGAGCAGAAAAATGTTTCCTCTGTCTTGAAGTATATATTCGAGAGCTGTCTAAAACAATACGAACACGTCCAAAAGGCTCTCATTTTTGGGAACAAGAAAGACCCTAAAGATACAAACACATCCTAACCCCATCAAACAGAAATAAAGCAAACCAAAAAGCTTCCTTCTCTTGTCATGGAATTTGAATTCAAAATATTGAATTGATTTTTGAAGGTGTGAAGCTTATGGAATAGTTTGTGGCTCTTTAGAGGTTTCAAGAAAGAAGAGAATAGAAGACCTTCATCGTCTAACTCTGGTAATGAGAGCCTAATACATTTCGAATATGTATATGCTAAGTCTGAGATTGAGTAAAATGTGAGAGACATAGAAGATATTAAACACCAAAGAAAATATTTTATATTTTATTTTCTTACAACCAGAATCAAAAATCACCAAGGAAGTCAAAACCTAAAGAAATGGACAGAGAGTGAAGAGAACTAGTTTGAGATTATGTTTAGATGTTATGCAAATGTCTTTTATGGTATATGGCTTGTGTCTTGATGATTATAGTAGTGAAACTTAAACTTAATAGAAATGGACAGAGAGTGAAGGGAACTAGTTTGAGATTAGGTTTGGATGTTATGCAAATGTCTTTGTGTCTTGATTATAATGTTAGTGAAAAAAATTAACATTTTTGGCGGGTTTTATTGTTTTGTTTCATAAAAAAATTGGTTGACGATGTATGAGGAGAGTTCATGTTTTGATCATAGTCCAACGATGGAAGTAATCTTGGACAACAACAACGGCTACTGTGATTCAACCACGGCGGGAGAAACAGATTTTCTAGTACACCATCAGTTTCAACCACCAAACAGCTTCAACAACGACTTTAAGCTACCAACAATGGATGAGTTCTCAGTTTTACCATCTGTTGTCTCTTTCTCAAGCTCAGAAACTCAGAACCTAATCAACAACAATAACAACAACCATATGATCCAGCAAATGATTCACGACTCGAATTGGGACAACTCTGGATTCTTTATGAACACTTCAGTTCCAAACACAACTCCAACTCCTGATCTTCTCAGCCTCTTGCATTTGCCTAGATGTTCACTTCCATTACCAAGCTCTAACGTTTCTGATATAATGTCCGGTTCTTGCTTCACATATGATCCGCTCTTTCACTTAAACCTTCCTCCTCAGCCTCCAATCATCCCTTCTTCTAATGACTACTCAGAGCTCTTGCAAGGAATCTATACCAATACTACTCAAGGAGATCATGTAAACGTTGGTGATGAGAACAACAATGCTCAATTCGATAGCGGAATCATTGATTTTAGTAAGAAAATTAGACGTAAAGGAAGAGGGAAGCAGAAGAGCAAACCATTTACAACAGAGCGTGAGAGAAGATGTCACTTGAACGAGAGGTTCGAGGCCTTGAAATTGCTCATTCCTAGTCCTACCAAGGTTGGTTATTTTTCTTTCATTCATTTCTGTTTAAATGTCTATTTGCATAATTTATATTATGTGTATATGTTATTAGGGAGATAGAGCATCCATTCTTTTAGATGGCATCAATTACATCAACGAGTTGCAAAGAAGAGTAAGCGAGCTTAAGTTTTTGGTTGAGAGGAAAAGATGTGGTGATAGAAACAATAACAACAACTTGGATGATTGTATTAATGTGGATGATGATGAAAACATGAAGAAGAAGAAGAAGCTAGAGAGGGATGTAATAGACCAGTGTTCAAGCAACAACTCGCTGAGGTGTTCATGGCTACAGAGGAAATCTAAATTAACAGAAGTTGATGTTAGGATTGTTGATGATGAAGTAACGATCAAAGTTTTACAGAAAAAGAAGATTAATTGTTTGTTGGTTGTCTCCAAAGTGCTTGATCAGCTTCATCTTGATCTCCATCATGTTGCTGGAGGACAGATTGGTGAACATTATAGTTTCTTACTCAATACTAAGGTTAGTGGTCAATGAATACAATAAAAATCATGACTGTATATATATATTGATGTTGGATTTAAGTTTTGGTTATTTGATATGAATAAAATGCAGATAAATGAAGGATCAACAATATATGCAAGTGCAATAGCGAACAAAGTGATTGAAGTTGTGGATCAACGCTACATGGCTGCTCTTCCCATCAATAAATACTAGTTACTAGGCTAACTTTATCTACTTTCTGACGTTTGTAATCCATGTTTACTCATTTTGCAAAGATTCAATATAATCTTTCTTTTAAGCCAAATGTAGGTTATATAGTTTGGATAATTTTTATGTTAATACGGTAATACATGTAAATGCTATATTCTCCTTTACAATTATTATTAGGAAATAAGTTTCTCGGCTACACGATGTTTACACTAATATGGTGGAAACCATCCAGTATATAAAAATGTGTCAAGAACTACACGAAGTATATGTTAATACATGCCACATGTACGAAGTAAATAATATTATGGTGGCAACATCACAATCAGATTTAATTGTTCTTAAGTTAAGTTAATGGGGTCAATCCGTAATTTCTGAAACTTAATAAACTTAATTGATTTTAATTATTAAAGTTAATAAAATTAATAAACTTAATAAACATAATATTTTTTTAAACTTAATAAAATTAATAAACTTAATAAACTTAATATTTTTTGTTAAACTTAATAAATTTATTAAACTTAATAAAATTATTAAACTTCATAAACTTAATAACTTATAAACTTAATAATTTATTAAACTTAATATACTTAACAAACTTAATAAACTTAATGATTTATTAAGTTTAATACATCTTATTAAGTTTAATAAATCTTATTAAGTTTATAAAGTTTATTAAATTATTTTGTTTATTAGTTTTAGGATTCTAGCTTATTAAACATAATAATTTTTAAAAACTTAATAAACTTTATAAACTTAATAAGATTTATTAAACTTAATAAGATGTATTAAACTTAATAAATCATTAAGTTTATTAAGTTTGTTTATTAAGTTTATGAAGTTTAATAATTTTATTAAGTTTAATAAATTTATTAAGTTTAACAAAAAATATTAAGTTTATTAATTTTATTAATTTTATTAAGTTTTAAAAAATATTATGTTTATTAAGTTTATTAATTTTATTAACTTTAATAATTAAAATCAATTAAGTTTATTAAGTTTCATAAATTACGGATCGACCCCATTAACTTAGCTTAAGAACAATTAAATCCGATTGTGATGTTGCCACCATAATATCATTTACTTCGTACATGTGGCATGTATTAACATATACTTCGTGTAGTTCTTGACACACTTTTATATATTAGATGATTTCCACCATATTAGTGTAAACTTCGTGTAGCTGATAAACTTTTTCCCTTATTATTACCAGCAAGAGGAAGGTTTCAGAGAAAAGAAATTTGATGATGCAAAACATAGTCATATATGCATGCTGCATATATAGTATATAGGCATAGAAATTCATCATATGTTTTTTTAACATGAAAACTCATTTCTAAAACAGTTGGTCCCAAAAGGATTTTGTGAGCATTGAACTTCTGATCTTAAGAGTTTGGTCTCGTCTTCACAGTACAATATCGTTTGGTAAGCTTTCTTTAGAATAAAAGGGTCTCAAGTTTTTATAAATTGATAAAGACATCCCCCTAAGATTTTCAAAGTAACCAAAGTGTGTACGGTTTACAGACGTATAGTAGCAGCCTATAGCAATGTACGAGAGAGGTAGGTGACCAGAATTTGTCTGTAACATTACGAGATTGCCCAAACTCTTATAAAAGAAAATACTATAACTATCTCATTCTTGGATGTGGGACCTACCTCTTCATCTTCTCATTCAATCCTACTCTTTTTTTGTTATAAACATATATCGCATGACCTAACTGCAACATGACACTTTTACTATTCTGCTTGATCTTTTTATTTTTGCACAACGATTAACAATGGAGACTAATTTTTGTGTAACAAATATATTCAAAGCTTACATAGATATTGAAAGATAAATATTTTCTCCTCCAAGTATCTAATGTCATATATGCTGGGGTATGTATATAGTTCAATTTTGTTTACAATCCATCATTCTATCTTGAAAATATAAGCGGTTAGTTGGTGAATCTGCTGCCTTAGGAAAGGCTAACGTATGGGCCCATATTCCTGAGAGTCAGAGAGGGCATCGTATTCGCACGTAATGACGGAAGTACCCCTTAAGTCGTTGCGAAGACCTGAGAGACTCGAGGAGTGGGGACCAATCTGCTGATCTTTTGTAACCAACCTACAATGTTTGGCCAGAAGGAGAAATCACATGCTCCAACTAAAACAACTCCAAAAGAACAATATTTACATAATTAATTTAAATGCCAACTTTTTGTTTTTGCTAAAAATTAAATGCCAACTTTGATTAGCGGTAAAAGAAATGTTAAATTTTTTTTTTTTTTTGAAAAAGAAATGTTAATTTATCACAGTTACTAAAGTTTAAACTCTTTTACAAACTATGCAATTTATAATAAGCTCATCCATCAAATCTATATTAGAAACATAACTAGATAAAACTAAATTTTGATTAAGAGAAAATAAAAAGCAATAATTTATTTTTAAATCCATTAGCAAAAATAATCATTTTTACCCTCCTTGTCTTCTTTGTCTCCATCTGCAAATGTCCGTATATTTGAAACACAGTGAAGGAGAGAACTTCTTTATGAAATTTTCTTCCCTCTCCTGACACTGAGAAAATCTCCAGAAGAAATAACTTTTCCAGGTTCAAAAGTCTCGAGCTTCCCATTACTCTGTATCTTTTTCTCTCTCTCTGTATCAGTCCTCTGTTTACACTCAAACTCAAACCCTAAAACCCATAATCTTTTTGGATTTGAACAAACTAATGGTTCCTCATTAAGACAATCTAGAACTGGGTTTTGTCTCTAAGATTGTAAAAAAGCAAACTTGTTTGAAATTAGGTTCAAATTTCTAGGTTTTCCCAAAAATCTTAAATCTTTCTGAAAAAAAATTGATGAATGTTACTGTTTGATTTTTGCAGGTGTTAAAAAAGAATCAATCTTCATGGAAGAAGAAAGAGACAGCCTTTACGAAGATATGACTTGTTTCGATCCCAACACTCCGGCAGAAGTCACGGCGGAGAGCACCGCCGCACCACCACCACCACCGCCGCAAACTCTGTTCGCCGGAAGCACAAGCAACAGTAACTGCAGCGTTGATGTGGAGGAGCTCCCTGAGTTCCATCTCAGCCCACAAGACTGTCCTCCTCAACCTTCTTCAACACCTCTCCAGTTTCACATCAACCCTCTTCCTCCTTGTGACAATCAGTACCAAAACAACAACATCAATCTGTTTCAACAACAAGCTAATTGGGATAATGGTTATCAACAAGATTTTGTTAACTTGGGTCCTAACTCTTCAACGACTCCTGACTTGCTTAGTCTCCTACACTTGCCTAGATGCTCACTCCCTCAATCTATGCTTCCTAACTCCTTCTCTGACATCATGTCTTCCTCCTCTGCTGCTGCTGTCATGTACGACCCTCTCTTCCATCTCAACTTCCCTCTCCAGACTCGAGACAACAACAACATCAACAACCAGCAGAGAAATAGTTCTTGTTTTCTTGGAGTTGAGGATCAGATTCAGATGGATGCTAATGGAGGTGGAGGAGGGATCAACATGATGTATTTTGAAGGAGTTGATAACAATGTTGGGTTTGACAACGGGGTTCTCGAGTTTAGCAATGGTGGTGGTAATAACCGTAAAGGAAGAGGGTCAGGGAAGTCTAGAACTTTCCCTACAGAACGTGAAAGAAGAGTTCATTTTAATGATCGCTTCTTTGACCTCAAGAACCTCATCCCAAATCCCACTAAGGTTTTGTTTACTTTGCTTCACTTCTTACTTTTGATATTGATTCATGTGTATGACACTATGTTTAATAGAATGATAGAGCATCCATCGTTGGAGAGGCAATAGATTACATAAAAGAGCTGTTAAGGACCATAGAGGATTTAAAGATGCTTGTGGAGAAGAAGAAATTTGGGAAGTTTAGGAGCAAGAAGAGAGCTAGAACTGATGGAGAAGAAGACGATCAAGAAGAGGAGAATGTGAGTTTCAGACCAAAGAGCGAAGAAGACCAGTCTTGCTTCAACAACAACAAGGCACTGAGATGTTCTTGGCTGAAGAGGAAATCTAAAGTCACTGAGGTTGATGTGCGTATTATTGATGATGAAGTGACCATCAAGGTTGTTCAGAAGAAGAAGATTAACTGTTTGTTGTTGACAACCAGAGTTCTTGATCAGCTTCAGCTCGATCTTCACCATGTTGCTGGTGGACAGATTGGTGAGCATTACAGCTTCTTGTTCAACACTAAGGTATAAATGAGAATCTCTGTGCTTTGAATCATGTTTTAGCTTCAAAACTAATTAGAAAACTAATCTTTTTTTTTGTTTAATTTGATTTGGGTCAGATTTGTGAAGGATCTTGTGTGTATGCAAGTGGGATTGCAGACACAGTGATGGAGGTTGTGGAGAAACAGTACATGGAAGCTGTTCCAGCCAACGGCTACTGAGAGAGAGCGATGGTTTATTGTTTTTTTTTAAAATAACTTTGTTTTACCCTCTAATGACTGATTAGTTATTAATCACTTTGGTAATTCTCTAAGTTATGGATTTTTTTTTCTTTGCATTATTTGGTCTGTTTATGGTTCCGTCCACTAATGATACTCTTCCTAATATTAAAATTTGCAAAATTAAAACCTCAAATGAAACTGAAGTATTTATTCAAAACTAAGCTCTTAACTTTTCAATACAGTATTGTCAACCAAAACCCACTTGGCAATTAAACACAGTCAGTGTGTTGATTAGTTAGCTATTATCCTTAGGTGATTACGCTTATAAAATAATCAACAAACTAGTCTAATTAATTACCTTTTAAAACCTGCAAAACAAACCTAATTTTAACCCTAGGAATCTCTCTGAACCATGGACTCATTCAGAATATCTTTTCAGAGTAAAATTTGTCTTGGGCTTTTGTATATTTGGAAGCTGCAACTCCTAAACACTAGGCCAGATCGCGTAAACCAGAGATTTTGGATTGCGGTTCATCATCATCGGAAGGGATCAAACGGATTCACAAAATTTATTCCATTTTTAGATTTGAAATTATGATATTAGTATATTTCCCATCCAAAGGGTCACGCTTTCTTGGATTTTTGGATATGTTTTTGTTCTTAACTTTCTTGTCATTTTCTTGTTGTCTATTCCTCTTTTAGACTATTCCTTATTTCGTTCAGGTTCACATGTTATTTTCAATGGTAATATAATTTGATGTCCCAAGGAAAAAATATTCAAATGATAAATTCTTTAGAAACATATTATCACTTGACAACAATGATTTACGCAAATTCACATACGGGTAAATCATTAAATAAAAGTAATTAAATTAAAAATACTTTTTAGTTTACATAATAAATAATTAGATTTGTAGAATTCCCAAAGTTAATTAATTTAGTGGTTTTACGTTCTCTCATTCTACTAGATTCAGATATGTTTTTATTTTGTTTACAAACCCTTACTCCACTGTTCAGCTAGCTTTACGAGATCTTTAAGTTCAAATGAGTTACTCACATCGTGAAATACTGTCTTGGAACAGCTCTTTTTGAACCACAGAGTTGCAGTCTATGATTATGGTGTTGCTCGTGGTCTTGGAGCTTCCCAAGTGTGTTTTGCACTGAACATTATTAACTGCTCATTTACACGCCCATAAAAAAGTCTTTAATGGCAGTAGGAATTGGCTCATATAAGTTGTAAAGTGAATATGGAAAGCCATCAGCGTCTTGTATTCATGCTCTTCTACTTCTCCAGCAATTCTGATTGCAAGAAGAAGCAACAATGGAAGTAAGAGGACCTAACTATCAAAGCCTTTTTACTTTCTTTTTTTTACTTATCAAAAAAAAAAAAACTATCAAAGCCCAAAAGTGCCAAACAACTGACACGCTCACCATTGTCAACCCAGCATATATTAGGAAACTAGTTGCTATAAGCCTAAGGGAGAGCTAAAATTTGAGGAGGTCCAAGAGGGTTTAGGGTGTTTTTTGTCGTCTAAACTCCAGAAGTTTCAATATCTCATTTTATATTAGCATTGATCGATTCAACCCACATAGAGTTGGTGTTTGCATACAATCCAGATTAGTCAAACGAGCTTCATACCCATTTTCGAAATTACAACTGCACCGTCACTAAATTGGTATAAAGTTCACATGAAATTGGAAACAATTAGGATCAAAAGTTTATTTCCTTTAATTTCGTTGCACTCTCATACCTCAAAAATACTACAAGGCGGCGACAACGGTTTTACCTATAAATCATTATCATTATCGATGGATTACATACTATAAACTCGTTTTCATCTGATGCATACCTTTTGATGTCATCCAACAAAATCTCAACTTTTTATCTTTGATTTTAAGGTCCATGGTGAATCCGTAGCTCCACTGGATTAAGATTATGTTTCAACAATTAAAGATAACAATGAAAGTCAAACAACCAATCAATAATGAAATTAACAACAATGATAACGAAAGCATCATCAACGACGTCTTACTTAAGACAATATCATATAATATGAACGTCATAATGTAATTTATAACATATATGTTTTATAATATAATATCTACACATTATAATAAGATCGTATACCTTTATAGATCTAATCGAATTATCCTACAGATAAAAAAACTATATTGTTATCTTATCAACTTCTTTTTGGTTGGATTTTCTTATTCGAACTAAGAATACCTTTATAGCTTGGATCGATTTGATATATTTTAAGATTCACAGTCTTTGACTGATAGGAATGATTCACTTGCGGGATATATACTTTTATTGTCTAATAGCTTTTACCAAGTATAAGAAAAACTAAGGATATTGAAATACAAAAAAATTATTAAAGCAATAATAAGGGTGGACACTCACACTTTCCAGCAATATAACGCAATAATACAGTTTTTTATACAGTTCAACATCTCCCATCGCATCTCTTCCAATAATTTCATTTTTATACAACAAATGAAAAATAAGAGATCCAAGGAAATTGCAAAATGAACAAACAAATTTCAAGACTACCACAAATTAAAGCTTAATCAATTCCAGGATCAATTAGCATGAGCTCATAAGAAGTTGCTCTAAATATTCAGCACCTAAATCTTCAAAAACCACAAGTGGGCCACTCTCTTGCTTCACAACACTCTGCTCATTACTTCTTGATGTTGAAGATGAAGACCAAGAAGATGATGAATAAGAAGAAGAATTAGAAGAACAAGATGAAGAGTTTGAAGATTTCTTTTTCCCTCTAGGCCGGTTCCTAAGCGAATGTTTTCTCTTCAAGGCCATGATAGGAGATCCTCCATCTTGAAGATTCACATTCTCCATTTTCTTGAGAGACTCTCTGACCACTTCCACGGGGAAATTAAGTACTGCAAGAGATCCTTTTGTTGCAAAAGCGGCTTGGTCATAAGCAAGAGCAGCTTCTTCAGCTTCATCAAAAGTCCCGAGCCAAACCCTAACTCCATTCCTAGTCGAATCTCTTATCTCAGCCGCAAATTTTCCCCATGGCCTCTTCCTCACGCCTCTGTATGACTTCTCTTCATCTATAGTACCAATCTTTTCTTCTTCCTCGGAGTAGGAAACGTGGCTGTTTTGAGCTTCTTCTTCTTTAATCATCGGCTCCGGTGACTCAAATGAGAAAAAGTCATCAGAATAATTATAACTAGGGCAAAAGAAGGATTGTTGATCTGATGATTGATCTAAGAAAGAACTCTCATTCCAAAAGAATGATTCTTGTGATGAGCTCCAAGAACTCGGAGAAGAAGACATTGTAGATTGAAAATATTTGTAATTTTTTTTTATTTAACAGTTTTTCTCTCTTTTTTTTTCTTGGTTATCTCTTTTTGTTGTGGCAATAACTTATTGCAAAACCTAATCCTATATATAAAGGACATGGAATTAATTAGATATTTGAGAGTGGGAATATTTTATTGTTATATATTGCCATAGGTCCTATAGACAATTTTGGCTGCCTTAATTTATACAACGAAATGGGGACCAACCACAAAACTAGTATTTATCTTTTCATTGTATCCAAGGAAAAAAACAGGATTTCACCAAAATCTATCACTATACGAAAAAACCAATTGGGTTATTGTTATTTCCACGTGTCAGAAGAAGGTAATAAGGGAGTGACGTTAGGCGGCGAGAAAACGACAAAATAGATGAGATCAGCATATTGTGATGTGGCAGAGAACTGCCACATAAGCTTTGATAGACCTGCTTCTTGTCCTTTGAGGCAATGTGAACTGTGAAGTAACCAAAAAGTCTGAGAGAGTTGACTGGAAAAGGAAAGCGTTTCTCGTCTTAGGTGGATATTTCATTTTAACATAATAAATATAACATATTTCCATGTTAAACTTTTTAACTATAATATATTGAGGATAAGAAAAAAGAATTAATAAGAAAATTTAACTGATACACCGTAAAAATTAACAAGAAACTTGTTTTGAACAGTAACTGAATCAAATATGCATATGTAGTATGTTTTAACACACTATTTTCACCAAATTGTTTAACACTCTCATTAAATTGTTTAGTTCTAAATATGCTGTTGACAAAAAAAAAGTTCTAAATATGCTTCGCCAACCCTATTAGTTGTATCCTTTCCTAAAGAGCTTATTAGTTGTAAGCTAAACGTCCAACAAATTAAACATTAATTAAGTATTCAACAACAATTCATGAGTTAAATAAAGTTTATTTCTGATATTTATATATGTATACATCAGATATACTTCTATATTTTTTAAGAAATAATAATTCTGTAGTTTTTAAAGTAGCAAGAGTGGATTTTAGGGAAATATTTAAAATAAATTATAGTTATGGTATTATAACAAGATAAGACTAAAATGTTCTTCTCAAACAAAACCGAATCAGATTTACGTTTTGTAATTTTTTCCAAGCCAATTTTACGTTTTTTGCATCGTCAATTTTACGTTTAGTATTGTATTTTTGTGTTTTAGTAGAGGATTTGGAAGAGGAAATAATATTCATCGAACCATGGTCCCTTGAGCGTGGTTTTTTCTTGATATGCCGACAGCCAGTACTCTAGTATATATATATAAACCGGCTCAAAGACAAAACAGATATTTATCAGAGAGAACCCTAATCAGAAAACGAAAATCATTGGTAGAAGGAAACAAAAATTATTGGTCCATAATTCTAGTGGAAGAATTGGCTTTTGTGTAATAAATTTGACTTTCTTTGTTCTTACAAGATCGAAAACCGAAACTTGATGAGGTTTCCTTTACAGGACCAATTATAACTGGAAACTTATCCAGATTTTATAACTTTATGTATATAATGAACGTTTACAAAGCCTGAAACTGTAGCTAAATCGATGCGGCTCTAGATTGCATAGTAGCGATCATTGAAGAACTAACAAGATCCTACGGATTTTGTATAAATAAAACACAATCGGCACAATCAGAAATAATCAAATATATGTGGATTACACGTTTCGTTGAAGATTTTCTCTTTTGTCAACATGTTAAGATGTATGATGTATCTAAAGGGTAAAAGGTCTTAGTTTTATCTTTTTAAATTTTAACAAAAATAACATAAGAACCTTTTTAAACACACATACAACAATAGCTATGAAAGTTA